TCTGTGTTCACATAGATTACCTGCTTTTTGTCTTCAAAGTGGAAGACTGTGCCAGCTCCACAACCCACTGGAAGTATTTGTGGATGTGCTTATCGGCTTCAGGCTGCCTTGGTCAGGATCAGAGGAAGGGGAACACTGAGCATTGCCTTTCCCGTCATAGACCCTCCACTCAAGCCGTTCTTCCATGTCCTCAGTACTACAGACTGTCAGATCCACCCCCTTTGTACCTGCTGTGGCCTCAATCGCCGGGAGTGTCTTTCCACTCACCTCTCACCTGGAAAATTCCGATCCGTTCTCCTCATCCGTCAAGATCTAGGTTAAATGATCCCTCTCTGAAGCCTCCTGTGGCCCTAGAGGGTTAGGCCTTCCTTTGTTGTAGATCTTCATTCCCTCACTCACTTGGTTAGCGAAGCTTGGGGGTTCTACTGTGCCCCAGGCAAAGGCTACTGCCATTCATTTTTTTAAAAAAAAGTGTTGCCCTGGCTGGCAGGCTAAGTGGTTAGAGCATCGGCCCACACATGGAAGGGTCGCAGGTTCCATTCCTGATCAAGGGCATGTACCTGGGTTGCCGGTTCATTCCTGGGCCCAGTCAGGGTACGTGCGGGAGGCAACCAATCAATGTATCTCTCTCACATCAATGTTTCTCTCCCCCCGCCATTCCACTCTCTTAAAAAAAAACAATGGAAAAATATTCTCGGGGGAGGATTAACAACAACAACAACAAGCATCCTGCCCTGGCCGGTGTGGTTCAGTTAGTTGAGCGTGGTCCCATGCACTAAAAGGTCACCGGTTCGATTCCCGGTCAGGACACATGCCCAGGTTGTGGGCTCGATCCCCAATAGGGGATATGCAGGAAGCAGCCAATTGAGAGAGGAGACAATTTCTCTCTCTCCCTTCCTCTCTAAAAGTCAATAAAAATCTTAAAAAAAAAAAAAGTGTCCTTTCCCTAAAGGAGTTCATAGGCTTATAGAAGAGACAGAACCAAGCATGCAGACAGACATGCTGACCAAGTAGGGAAGCTGTGAGGAGCACCTCACTTGTTCAGGGGGAAAGATGACAAGGAAGGTTCTTGAAGGTGGTGACACCTGCCCCCTAAGAATATGTGGGTATCAGGGGGAGGGACTGGCTTGGGCAAAGGCACAGAGGAGAGAAATCCTGCGGTGCATGCACGACAAAGGCAAGCAGTTGGTTTTGCTAGAATATAGGTGGGGCCAGAAAACGTAGGGACTTTCTAGTAGGTTGAACTGTATGAAATTGTCATTTTTGTAGGTCAAAGCAAAAATAATCAGAGATCATCCATTTCTTATGATTCAGGCTAATATGTCACCTAAGGTTCCTGGATCGCAGTGTTTCCCGAACTTCTGTCATTTTTGAACCACCTTCGTGATTTTTACCTTATATGAGTTTCTCCCTCCTGAGCATCCACTTAATTTTTATTTAAAAAGACTTGCTGTTTTTACCTAAGTAAACTTATTTTATTTTTTAATATATCTTTATTGATTTCAGAGAGAGGAAAGGAGAGGGAGAGAGACAGAAACATCAATGATGAGAGAGTCATTGATCGGCTGCCTCCTGCACACCCCCGACTGGGGATCCAGCCTGCAACCCGGGCATGGGCCCTGACTGGGAATTGAACCCCGATCACCTGGATTCTAGGTTGATGCTCCACCTCTGAGCCACGCCTGGCCGGGCAGTAAACTTATTGTAAAAGGAAACTTTATGTCACTGTTACGGTCATCATTACTTTGACCCATCAGTCCTCCTCAGTTAACAGATGAGGAACCAGGTCCCTCATTTTTGGTTTGTCATTTCCCACATTTGAGCTAGTTGCTCAACCTCTCTGTGCCTGGGGTTGTCATTCTTCAGATGCCCCACAGGATGGTTGGGGGGAGGAGGGATGGCACACAGGATGGCACAGAGCTGCCGTTCTTCAAGGCCCTGAACAAGTAGCAGTCCCGCTCCCCATGGTGCTTTCTTAGTCTCTTAATCTTCTCTACTTAACACAGAGTGGTTTTTAATCTTTTTTTTCCTAACAAGATGAGGGAGATCTGGACCTCTGAGAATTTGTCATTTGTGGACCCCCAAACTCAGACGGTTGTTAGACCTCTTCTGAGGTTAGGGCTGAAAACTTACTCCAGACTCAGTCCAGTCGGCCCTCCTCTCCCTCCCTCCCTCTTCCTTTCCAGCCTCCCCCCCCTTCCGTTTACCTGTCCAGCCCCCGCAGCTCCCGGCTGGCTGCCTTTAGCTTATACTCTTTCTAACAACTTCATTCCAAGGGCATCTCAGCAAAGACCACAACCACACTCTGTTTCTGGAGCTGAGGGCATGCTATCACTTAAGTTTCCTAAGCATCCATTTCCTCCTCTGTAAAATGGATAGTGAGGATTAATTAAAATAACATTATTGGCTGATAGCACTTTGCTGTCAATACACATAATCCCGTTTAATCTACACAATAATGCTCTGAGTTGAATAATCCTTCATTCAACTCAACTGAGCGCCTACTACGTTCTAGGTAGTTTAGCCACAGTGATGCCTCATGGAGCTTACGAAATGGAAAGAGGTTTAAAAACATGAACACGAAATAAGGTCATTTCAAATTGTAATAAATGGTGTAACAAAAATAAAACAGCCCTGGCTGGGTAGTTCAGTTGGTTAGAGAGTCATCCTGATACGCCAAGGTTGCGGGTTCAGTCTCCATACAAGAATCAACCAATGAATTCATAAATATGTGGAAGAACAAATCAGTGTTTCTCTCTCCCTCTCTCTCTTAAAAAAAAATCCAATAAAAATAAAGAGCAAAGGAAAGTCATTTAGGTCAGCAATTTTGAACTTTTTTCATCTCATGGCACACATAAACTAATTACTAAAATTCTGCAGCATACTAAAAAAATATATTTTTTGCCAATCTGACAAAAAAAAATAGGTATAATTTTGATTCATTCACAGTTGTCATTTTTTAATTTGACAGTCTAAGGGAAAAGAGGTCAGTGCCCCTGACTAAATAGTCAGGTATTGCATGTTTTGTTTTTGTTTTTTTAAATATATTTTTGGTGTGCCACAGAATTTTAGTAATTAGTTTATGTGTGCCAAAGAGATTTTTTAAAAATATATCTTTATTGATTTCAGAGAGAGGGAGAGAGAGAAACATCAATGATGAGAGAGTCATTGATCAGCTGCCTCCTGCATGCCCCCGACTGGGGATGGAGCCGCCAACCTGGGCTTGTGCTCTGACCGGGAATCAGACTGTGATCTCCTGGATCCTAGGTCCATGCTCAACTGCTGAGCCACGCCCGGCCAGGCACATTTTTAAAAGTCTTGTGGAGTACCAGCATGCCAGGGCTGATTTAGGCTATTACCTGGATAAAATTTACATAAATTCATAATATAAAAGTATCAAAATATTTACTCGTTACTCTTAGATTTTTACAGTAGCTTTTTTCCTGGTAAGTACAGGTTCTCCAGGGGCTGCTCTCTGTGGGCATTATAGAATGCTGCTGTCTGCCCTCTTGAGACAAAGGGCCTCAGGGGACTTCTAGGCCTGAGAGATAACCTTAAATTGTTAGTGGGGATTTAATCCAACTTCAAGGCAGCCTGAGAGGTGTGGATTTTGGACCTCAGACACCATTCCCTGGAGCTGGCAGTCTCCACTTGTATGACTGTATTTGAGGAAGGCAAATCCAGCCTGTGAAACCCAGGAAGATGCCATCCCTAAGTAAATAAGCAACTGAACATGTTTGAAGAATGTGAAACAAAGATGAATATAGTCAATTCAGAAAAATGAGCCCCCTGGGGAAGAGCACAGTGGCTACAGCTGTGCAGAACAAACTGCTCAGATGGAGGGTTTCACAGCCTCCTTTACAGCAGAACACAATATTCCCTTTTTCAAGCAATGTGTTTTCCCTAATAATTGCTGCTGAAAAAAAGAAATAACCTACTGAATGCTAGTTACTTAATATGATATTTGAATAAGCCTCACAAAAAATCTGTCAAGTAGTAGGAAACATTGTCAGTGAGTTTAAATAACTTGACCTGGAGCCACTGTTAGCACTGGTAGAACTGGGGGTTGGAGCTCAGGTTGTCACTGATTCCCCAACCCTGTGTCCTTTACACCCATCATCCAACCAACCTCAGGTGCTGCCTACTTGGTAAGATAGAGGAATGGCAGAGCCAGGCCAGGAGAGGCCGAAGGGCAAGCCCCCACCCACCAGTATTCCTCACTCAACACACTGTCCAGCCTGCAGACCATTCCGTGAAAGGCAAGAGCTCCTTTTTTCTATTGAGGACAAAATGGTTGGTAGATTTGTTTTTCTCACTTTCCTTTCAGTCTTTTAAGCGACTCTTGTATCAGCCAACCTGGGATTGCTCTTTTCCAAAATTAAAATAAATAGCTCATATTTGTTGCAAACACTCAGAAGTGTGTACAGCAGAAGATGAGAGCTTCCCCGCCCATCTTTCTCCCCTAGTGTAGCCTTAAACATGCCTTCCCAGCGGAATGAAATGGGTCTTTTAATTCCTCTCACAGGGTCCCCTATAGTGCTAGCAAAAGAGCTAGGGAGTCCTCAGGTTTTCAGATAATACTCTGGGCTGGCCTTAAATTTAATAATAGTTAGTTTGGTTTTTAATAAACCGTCATGGAATGTCACCTGTGCACTAGGTGTTGATCCAAGATGGACAGAACAGCCTCTGACCTAGGGTGTTGAACACCCTTGTGTAAACCAAGGATTACAGTGGTAATCCCCTAATGAACACATACAGGGTACCATTTTAAGAAGTGGCTAAAAACTTTCTTTTTAATCAGAAAGACACAGGTGTAATTAACTGATCAGAGAAGTAGTCATATATTCAAGTGTAAGAGTTCTTTACTTTGCAGCTAAGCCTGACTCGGGCTGACATGGATGCGGTGGAGGGGTGGGGTGGACCCTCTCCAGAAGCCCCTAGCAGCATGCATTGTTTCCTTTCATTCTGGTCGTTGAGATGTTGAGATCTCCCTGGGTACCATGCGCAAAATGTTCCACAGCTTCCGGAGTATATGCCAGGTCAGTTAGTCAGCAATTCTGTTTCAAGAATCGGCTCATTTTCCATTGCACCAGTGCTACATTTTCAACATGGAAGGAATTTAAAATGTAAAAGCATTTGCTGTGTAAAGGAGGGAGACTCTAGGGCTGGTACTAGAATCCACTCCCCTCACACCCAATTTGATGCCTTTTCCATTACACCCCATGATTGAGTCTTAGGGCACCAAGTGGGTGGTCATTAATCTTGTATGGACTTTTGATCCAAGGCTGATGATCTCAACTGGATTGTGCCAGCAGCAGAGATTTAATGTTGGACAGGTCAGTCACTGAATTTGATAAACAGTCCAGTGACAAGACGAAAAAGAAATTGACAATTTGTCTACACCTTGAAAAGGGAGGGGCACTAATCAGAGGGGTGGGAACACAGAAGGGAGGGCTTCTCAGCATAGTGAGTGTATGAAAGTGCATCTGAAATAGCAAGTTACATTGTTTCTTTTTCCAGAGCAGGGAACTGGAAGAGTCTCTGTGCTTTCCTGCATTGAGCAAGAAGAGAGGTGAGGTACATTGCCAACTACCTCCTGGAGATTTGACTAGGATCTAACCTTATTTAATCTAATCAAACAAGATGTAATCATTGCAGGTATTTTGTTAATTGAATTTATTGGGTGACATCGGTTAACAAAACCGTACAGGTTTCAAGCGTACAACTCAACAAAACATCATCTGCACACTGCATTGAGCACCCACTGCCCCATGTGAAGCCTTTCTGCCCCTATTTATCCCCTTTGCCCTCTACCACCTCCCCTCATCCCTCAATGCTGGTATTTTAAGTCTGTTTTCAGCTGTTTAGTTGTTCTTTTTAGTAATAACAATAGTAACAGTAAACCTTAGTGCTTCTAGGATAAGAGTTAAGTGCCCTCAAGGATGGTGTCTTGGGCTGGTCTGAGGCCCTACTGCGTCAGAGAAACAAACCCATTCATTCATTCACTCATTCACTCATTCATTCATTCATTATTTATTTATTTGGTGCCTATGCACCAGACACGGTTTGGGAGGAAATGGAGACACAGGCTATTATCTCATGTAGCTAAGCTGTTGGACTTTTCACAAATCCCTTTCTCTCTCTGGGCCTCAACTCCTCGACCTATTCAGAGACGTACGCTCACAGTGGACCCAGACTATTTAAATTCAAATTCCAGCTTCACCTCTTCCCGTTAACGTGACCACATGCGAGTTAATTTGGTCTCCGTGATCCTCTTTCCTCATCGGGAAAGTGGGGATAATATAACTCGTTTCATCGGGCTGACTAAGGGTGAAACTAGGGTAGCGCTCAGCCGAGGGTGGTCGCAATCGTCAATCCCCGCGATTCCCCGGGGGGCCGACCCGCCGGGAACGGCTGACAGGTGTTAGCTGGGGCGCGGCCCAGGCCCCCGCCCCGGAGGTGGGGGTCAGGGTTTAGAAAGCCGGGGTCTGCGCCTGGCTCTCCCCCGGGCGCGGCGCGGGAGACGGCGCCCAGGCTCTGGCGCCCCACGC